ACTGACTTCAAATATTACTTTGTCTGATAGGAATTATTGGCTGAATTGTTATTATTTGTTTGTTTTAACATTTTCGTACATAGCGACACAGGGGCTAACTGTTCATAGCCATTCCAGATTTTGAACTGACAGACTAGAGAGAAATAACGATTCAACAGTATCTACTGCAGTCTTTTTGGCTACTCGTCTGCACAAATAATGGGATTTAACTATCACTTTTATAACGCGCTCACGGCCCCAAAATGCGAAACGCCTTACGGGCTGCAAACCACGAATTTCCTCTGATTTACGGTCCAGCCACGCAAACCGCTAAACCACACCTGGCTCAAAGTTGACATTCAAAGTACCTCCTCTTTGTTCACAGTGCATATTGATTTGAATTGCTGAAGAACGTCATAATTGATTTTTTTTTTCGTAACGACATAAGAAACAATACAGTATTATCATTGACCGTTTACAAAAACGTAATAAAAGGTGGCTTAAGATGACATGAAAACAACAACACGTCCAATTCCGTAACTTATCCTCACGAGTCGAACCAAACTTTTTAGTCAAATACACAAGAAATTAATTCTTAGGTCAAACCCACCCAAAACATAAAAATTGTAAGGTATATTGGGATTTCGCAAGTCGTTGCGGTTGTTAAACGTTTGTTTCGTCAACTTTACCGGTATTTAGCGTTATTACCGTTCAGCCTTACGGCTGTGCCGCTTTGAGAAGGACGGGAGGTATCGTTAAGTGAATAACTTATTGATTTACATACACTAGTAACAGCTGCTAGTACTGTAATAATAGCATTGGTAATAAATTACAGCAATGGTTGACAGCACGAGGAAACGAAGCATGCTTTATTAGTGGAGTACTTAATCAACAATAATTCTCAGTTCTTTCTCTTAAACTGAATACCAAAAAGATTTAACAATCCTATATACTATCAGTAAATAGACACAAGATTTAACGATACTGTGTACTATCAATAAGAAGACACAAGATTTAACAATACTGTTTACTGTCAATAAGAAGACACAAGATTTAACAATACTGTGTACGGTCAATAAGAAGACAGGAGATT